CGTCCACAAGGAAATGGGGGGGCATGTGGGATCAATGGGGGGAAAGTGGAGAGCAGAGGCTGGAGGGTAGGGGAAGAAGGGGAGTGGGGAGGGAAGGGAGGCCCAAGGCTGCGCGTGGACAGAGAGGGGGCAGAGGTGGCAAGACAGCAGGTATAAGCAAGGGGTGAGATGCTTGATCTACCTATACCAGCTACCCTGCCACCACCTGCCCCCCTGCAGCAGTAGGAAGGATGAATTAAAAATGACCCTCTAATAATTAGATTCTATGTACAAATAATTATTAAAAAATTACAAATTTTCCACGTATAGAAGCTAATTATTGGGGAGTCATCTTAAATTCAGGGTCATGTTAAATTTGATTAAATATGGTAATAAATTGTGCTGCTTTATTGTTGCTATTTGTTCTGGGGTGGGACAGTGTGGGCAGCTCTCAACTGCCAGGCAGCTCCTCTGGCGGCTTACAGGGCAGTTCTGAATGCCCTGGGAAGGATTGGGCCCATCAAGCCCCTGGAGCACCTGCCTGGCTTTCCTCACTTACAGAGAATTGGGGGGCACCTCTCTGTAAGCCACTAAAATAAGGGTTCTCCACTTAAGGAGACCCACCCCAAGATCTCTGGGAGCACCTCTCCCTAAGAGGGGAAAGCCCATATGGGTCCCAGGAAATTCCCCGGTCCTCCATGCTGACTCTCTCTGACTTGTGCCTCTGTGTGAAGCGCAAGCCGGCAAAGGGGCAGAGGGGGTAAAATTCCCAGTGTTGCATGCCTCCCATGTTGGGACTCGCACTGACTTGGAGGCACAGGTCATAGCAGGTCTCCATGCGGAGGCACAAGGTACTGGAGAATTCCTAGCTCCTGTGACTCCAGGACCCATGCTGACCCATGCCTCAATGTGAAACAGGTCAGCACGGGTCCTGGCGCAGAACCCGAGAAATTCCTGGCACCCCATGCCTCCACGCCAGGACTCAAGCTGCCCTGTGCCTCTGGGTCAACACAGGTCCTAAAATGGAGGCATAGGGCACCAGAAATTCCCTGGCTGTGCTTCATGGAAAGACACAGAAATTCAAGCCTACGCTTCACAGAAAGGCACATGTCAGCATGTGTCCCAGCATAGAGACACAGCGCTGGGGATTCCCTGGCTTCTATACTGCACTGTGCTGACACATGTCTGCATGAGGCATGGGTCAGGGTCTGGAATCATTGGACTAAAGGAACGTATTGCCCATGGGTGACTGGTGCCACCTTAGTTGCGGGGGGCATGTGCCCCCACTGCAACCAGTCCCGCCGACAGGTGTGGGGGGGGGTCCCTCCATGGCTGATCCTGCAGATGGAGGGGTGGGGTGTCGCTGCGATCACCACAGCTGCTTCCAGGAGTGGATGTGGCCACTTCTGGGAGCAAGCACTGGCTGATTGCTGCAGCTGCTCCCAAAAGCAGACCCAGCCACTCTGGGAAGCAACTGCAGTGACCGCAGTGATTGGCCAGTGTTTGCAGGGGGCACTGGTGCTCCTGCCTGCCCCACCCCCCCATCACCTAAGCAGTGAGTGCAGCCAGTTAGGGGGTGCACCGGCGCTCTTAGGAGGTGCATGTGCACCCCTACGTGTTGCTACTGGCATTGCCCATTGTCCCACATTGGGCCCCTGCTCTGATGCCAACTCCATAAGGGAGCAATACACTGCTCTTCTACTACTTTTGTCATGAGCTTGAGAACAGAGGAGGGAACAGACACACAAAGGAGAACAAAGAGCTGTGGGAAAGACCACAGTAGCTGTTTAAAAATAGTTTTACTTTTAACTTTGGCCCCTCAGTTATCACCACTGGCATGAGGCAGGCCCACTAGACTTTTAAATCAGAAAAGGCAACAGGGTTACATTTGCATACATATTTCTCACTCTGCCTTTAATCATTCAATGTCACTTCTTTCATTGTTGGATTAAAATATATATATATATAGTAGCTACTGAAAATAGCCAAACGGTAACTGGTGAAATCGATTTCAATCTTCAGAATAATGACTCAGTCTGTACATACCGCTGTGCACATTTTATAACCAACACCAAAATCAAAACGGCATTGTTCATCCATAGAATAATTGATGCCTGGTAATTCAGGAAGTCTGGGCCAATCATGTTCAAAAGGGTCATCAAGGAGACAGTCATAAGAGCTGAGAAAAGATAAATGCAGGTAATGAAAAGATAAATACTTAAGAATATATATATTTTTTTACTAGTTAGGTTATTGCTACTTGTTCTTATCCAGTTGAATGGGCTCCCACCACAACAGCTACTATTCCATCTATTAGAAGTCTAGGGTGAACTTAGATACCTCAGACCAATCCTATCTACCCTGTTTGAGTGCCTGAAAAACCCCTAGTACAAAATGTGAAATGGTTCTCCCTGCTTCTGTGACTTAGTCTTAAGGCTAAGATGACAATGCAATAGAAAAGTAGACGCAGTGATTCTTTTTCAGGGACTTGAGAACAGGGTGAAACTAGATCACATTTGGACACCTAACAGAGCCAGATTTTATTCCACTTAAGTGAACAGAAGAGTAAATCAATACTCCTTTTCCCCCAACCTTTGTCTGTCATATGTATATAGACTGGGACAGGAACAGTCTCTAATGTGTGCCCACTTATGCACTGCAAGATGAATCTCAGGGCTGGGGACTCTCAGATGCTTCAATTGACAAAAATCCTAGATGCTGTACTCTTGTTGCAGGAAATATGTCTGGCAATTTTTCATGCAACTCAAACTTGTGCATCAGCCCAAAACAGCAACAACCACTCACCAGCTTTGAGCTGAAATTCAGCACTACAGTGCAGTGTATCACTGTACTTCAGTTGGCGTACTGCTTTTAGCACAGGACCTAATCCAAACTAGTTGAAGTCAGCTAGGAGTCTTTCCACTGACTTCCAGAAGCTCTGGCTCAGGTCCATAGCACGCAAGGGAAATCTTTCAAAGCAAACAGCAAGCATTTTTACTTCAGGACTACTACATTCACGGTGGTAGGAGCCAGCAGAAAAGCCTGTGATACACTGAATGCCTCTGAGCTGACACAGGACTCAAGGGAGACATTGCAATAGTGCTGGGTCCTCTCCACATAAGTGAATTTCACCTGCAGGAGGAATGCGGGGGCAGGCAGGATTGGTCTAGGGGGTAGGGGGGGCATGTGGGGTCTGCAGGGGGTTTCTGGGGTCCAGGATGGTTTGGTGGGATATGGGGGGCTTGCATGGAGGGGAACCAGGGGCTATTTTTAGCCCTCCAAGGCCCACCAGCAAACCTATACTTCCATTCCTCCTCCCCTATCCCCACTGGGACTTATTTGCTCAGTTCCCAGCAGCAGTGAATGCTGATAAAACAGGTGACTGATAAAATGGGAGTAACGTGGGGGATGCTGGCTGGTCCATGGCAGGGAGGAGTAGGGGACTAAAAACAGTCTAGTGCCGGGGAGGCAGGGATAGGAAAAGTGCAGCCCTGGGGCTGGAGCCAGTGGCTTGGCTTTCCTAGTCCCAGGGCTGAGAACATAACTGTACAGAAGTGCCATGTCCCGGTCTAACCTAGATCAGGTAAATCTGGTACTAATGGATCCAGGTCTATTTTATATCAGGTTCAGCCATTTTTAGACTAGTCTGTGTGCATAGAACTTCTGTACTGTTATAAGTTTAGATTCAGTTCCCAATCACTGAGATGGGTCTGAGTCTAAGGTTTGCATCAGGGTGAGTTAAGTTAAATCAAATGACCATTTTGAACCTGATCTAGCCTCCCTCTAACACCCACGAATGTCTGTACTTAGCCTTAATGAGGAACTGCTGCTCTTGACTTCGTTCTTGTAAAAGGAATCACCAGATAAAAGTGACACTGCTGTGGGGCGGGGGAGTTTTAGCAAGCAGTACTGCTGGGAGGAAGCATATAGTGAATCTGTTGCTGTGGCTTATAGAGCAGATGCACTCGGATGCCCTTTGGGACTGAATCCCAATTTTCAACTTGAAAATTATGAAGCACCACAGTTGCCTCAAATCTACTCATTTTAAACACAAATTCAGGCTGGTGTACTCTTCCCTCCAGTACAGAAAGAATCAAAAGGCCAGAACAGTATCAGACCTCACAACCCTTCAGGAGACTCACTGCCATTAGCTAGGCATTACAGCTCCTATAAGCTGCTCCTAATTGGGGAATGGATGT